CCAGAGAAGGAAGGGACCCAAGAGGGTTGCCATTGGAAATATCCTAGTCTAGATTTTTTATGGGCTTTGTTGGAGGGCTGCTTTAATCTAATTAACCTTCCCAGCACCTGTCATCCAATCAGCTTTTTGTCATTGATCTTTCATGTGGAAAAGGATGGAGGGCCCCTTCCAGGGTAGTGTAAAATCCTTTTAAGGTGGTTTCCTCTGGGTGGGGGGAACCCTGTCCCTGTCCACCTCTCTTCCATTGTCCTTCATCAAATAGATGTCTGTCTCTAGTGATGTATGAAAAGTCTTGTTTTTAAAAGGTTTTTAGGTTAAAATTATCCATCAAATAGAGGATGGGGAGGACTAAGCAGAAAGTTGCATTTTAAAAAAAAAAATGCTAAAGTTTAACTTGACAAAAAGTTTGATATAATTCACAGAATTGTAGCCAAAAACGCTGATGCACTCAAATGGAGTGTTGTCAAAATCAGTATAGAGTACTAGGGAAGTAGTGGATGGTAAAATTCTAAGATTACATCTAAATAGTTATGTTCCACCTGTGTGACACATAATGAGGGGAAATAATGAGGAAGGCAACCTGGATGGTCTGGATGGTAAAAATTTGGACATTTAATGAATAAACAATGGAAATTTAGTCTGTAGAATAGATTGTGTGTGTGTGTGTCCTTGAGTGTGCACGCATGTGTGTGTTCCAGGCATAAGTATTGGGAGTATGTTGTTCTCTTTTTGAGAAACAGAACAGCATGAGCTCATTCATATTTTAGCAGGAACACTGTCATTGATGAAGGACAGTTAGAGGAAAGGCAGGAAGGGACAAGGAGCCCCCATCCCTAAGAGGAAATCACCCTTGAAAAGATATTGCACCACCCTGGAAAGAGCCCTCCACCCTTTCCCATGTGATAGGTAGAAGACAAAAACTCAATTGGATGACAGGCACAGGGAAGGTTACTCACATTAAAACAGCCCTCCAACAGGCCCTTAAAAACAGAAATTCCATTGGCAACCCTCTCGGGTCTCCTCCCTCTTTGGGAGATTTGTCTATTACTCTGTGAAGGTTACTATGACTCAGTAAACTTTGTTTTATGTTTTACTATCACTCAATAAGCCTTACTTTGCTGCCCACCACTCTGTCTGGTCTACCTCTTCATTCTTCAAAGTGATGGGACCAAGAACCTCGGGCACAGAAGGAAGAAGGAAAAGAAATCCTGCAACACTATGTTGAGACAAAAGTGGAATGAGGTAAGGATAGAAGCAAGGAAATAGCACAGGTGGTAATGATCCAGATGAGACCTTAAGCTTACCTTAATCAGGATGATTCAAAATGATGAAATACTACATCTTTTTGGCTTCATCATAACTTTATAGGTAAAGCCAACAGGATTTGGTAGTACTAACTGTAGGGTGTGAAATACCATACACCAAAATATTTGGCCTGGACACTATGTTATTCAAATAAAATTCCAGATTTTATTTTATTTATTTATTTATTTATTTATTTATTTTTATTTACGATAGTCACACACAGAGAGAGAGAGATAGAGAGAGGCAGAGACACAGGCAGAGGGATAAGCAGGCTCCACGCACCGGGAGCCCGACGTGGGATTCGATCCCGGGTCTCCAGGATCGCGCCCTGGGCCAAAGGCAGGCGCCAAACCACTGCGCCACCCAGGGATCCCCAAAATTCCAGATTTTAAAGAAAACTTAGAAACTTTCTACTCAAGCCTTTGATTCTTTAAAGGAATCCTGTCTACAATAATATCCTCATGGAACAATTCCTTGATGACAAGGAACGTAACTCATCCCATTTTAGAATAGCTCTGGTTTTAAGAGCCCTTCTTCTTATAGTGAGCCAAAACCTGCTTCTATGTGATGGACAAATGTGATATCGTGGTTTATAATAAATATATATTTGATCTTTGTTCCTGTTTTTGGCAGAGCTCCTAAAACCCTTGGAATTTCCTAAGTGATAAGGTATTTTGATAGCTGTGACATCCTTTTCAAACATACTTGACTTTATGTTAATAAGGTGACTTTTAGAAAGCCCTTAAGGATGAGAGTCACTAGGGGAACCAATAATAATGTGATTCAAGGCTTGGAAAGTCCAGAGCCAGCCCTTCAACCTCTGGGGAATGGAGAGGGGTCTGAGATGGAGTTCAGTCACCACTGGCTGGTGATTTAATCAGTCATGCAAAGTAATGAAGCATCCATGAAAACCTTAAAGGACAGGGTTGAGGGAGCTTCCAGGTTGGTGAAATCAGACTGCCTCTATATGCCATGGTGCTGGGGCCTCAAACTCCAAGAGAACAAAAACTCCTGCATTCAGAATCTTGCCCTGAGTATCTCTTCCTTGTGGCTGTTAATTTGTGTCCTCTATATATTCTGCAATGAACCAGCAATCTAGTAAAGAAATAGGGTTTCTGAGTTCTGTGAGCCCACCTAACAAATTCATCAAACCCAAGGTGGGAGATAGAGAAGTACAGTATGGAAATCTCTGATTTACAACTGGTCCATCAGAATCACAAGTAACAACCTGGATTTGTGATTGACATCTGAAGTGGGGACAATTCTTAAACTGAACCTTTGACCAGTGGAATCTGACACTCCACTCCATGTAGAGAGTGGCGAGTCTAGTTGAATTATGTATGGAATACATAGATGGTGTCTGAGAATTGCTTGGTGTGTGTGTGGGGGGGAGAAAGACACACATACTGGAATTGGTGTCAGAACTGTAACAAGTGAATGAGAAAAGATGGAAAACCTGATAGCAAGGTAGGTAAGAGAAAAATGCTATCTGAGCAATTTGGAAGAAGAGCATCGAGTCACAATTATTTGACCATGGGATATGAGTTCATCATTTCTTAATGATATTTTTAAAAAACAAAATAATTTCTCTATCCACCATGCTTACATAGGCGTCTTATTGATTCAGTGTTTGTGATGATGGTGGGTTTTTTTGTTTGTGCTTTGTTTTATGATGATGGTGTTAAACAAATGAAAAATACTGATGTATTCTAGTTTTTGGCTCCTTGGTGTCCTAAGTCTCAGCTTCTCAGCTATATTTAAGTGTGCATGCCCTTTAAATAAGGAGTGAGATATGAAACATGTACAAGTACAGTTTGTTCGCCAACTAATTAGAATGAATGCCAACCAGTCTGGTGCATTTCAGCTAATATCTGACTGCTTCAAACTACGGGAGAATCAAGCTATTAGAGTGCTGAGTTTAAATACTACATATTTTTATTTTGTCTTTATTGTAATGAACAAGCCTATCTTTAGCTCCTGCTGTGCACTTTTGGAGGGTCTTCCATATGGTTGCTGCTAAGTATTTTGGCATTTTTCCCAACTGTTACAATTGGGTCAGTGGGGGGGACTGTATAGGAGTAATAAAACAAGGGTGACTGCAGCAGGGAGGAGTACCATTACTACGCACATAACAGCTTATTGCCTCGCATGCACTCAAGCACAGCTCAACACCATTCATTACAACAGGCAGCCAGGGTAAACTGCCTTTTTGCCATATAGTTTACACAGAAAGGCCAGGTCTTGGGTTCAGAGACTAGAGTTCTTATTTCTAGTTTTTCTTGTTTCCTTACTCATTGTCCCATAATATCTAGAATAATTTGCATATCACTATATCATTCTGAGAAAGTTTTCATGAGCAGTCTCAGCTAAATTTTAGCAACAGCAGGATTATCAGTGTCCCTGAGGACTTTGATAAGAGAGAGGAAAAAAAAAAATGAGGAAGCAAAGTCTGACTCCTACAAACACAAAAAAATCTTTGAGACATGATTCATAAAGCCAGAGGTGACTAACAGTATTGACACTATAACTGCAGTGTTTCCCCTGGCAGGAATGACGTGAAACAAAGGCTACTACTATTTTTATCCCGTGGAAGACAGTGTGGCTTAAAGCACTAGTAGACTGGAAGGGGAAAAGTTCGCAGCAAAATTAATAAGATTCTAAACAGTGAAATAATACATTCAACTGAGATATGCGTACACACATACACACACTGAGTAAAACAATGAACTTAAGGTCTTGATTCAAAGATTGTGTTTTCCGTATTTATGCTTATACGCACAGGTATTCTTTAAATAATTTATTACGCTTTTCCTTTAGGGGCTCCTCCCCCAACACACATTAAGCATCAAGATGCAGTCACATAGCATTGTAACAGGTTCACAGCATATTCATGAATTTTTCTCGAGCAATTACAAGAAATAGAGATTTTAAGAAATAGAGAGACCTTTAAATCCGTATGCAAAGATGTGGGTTTTTTTGTTTGTGTTTTTCACATTCCCGGCCAAGAATAGTAAATAAAAAGTGTTGCATTACGTTGCTCCCTACTCCCTTCCTCCCGCCATCCCCAAGCCCAGGAACAGGATTCCCGGAAACACGCCCGGCGGTCGAGCCCCGGGCCAGCGAGGCAGGTGCACGCCTCTCAGGACCCCCGAGGGGGCTGCACCCGCCGGCGCCCGGGAGGTCGTCGGCCAGGCAGGGCGGGACACCCGTGAACTTCGGAGACGCGGCCCGGCCCACCGTCCGCAGCCAGCCCCGAACTTAGGGAAGTCCTGATGCAGCAACGGGATGTCGGTGACCAGCTGGCTCCGGGACGACCCACACTTGTCCTGACACGCTGGAGACCCCCACCCAGCCGCCCCCGATCAAGGAGGCGAGGGCGAACACACGCTCACCCCGTCTGCAGGCCTGACGAAGCCCCCGCACAAACGCTGCCTACGCCGCCGCGGCCCGCCACGCCCGCTCCCCAAGCGAGCCCGCGCCGCACCGCCGCGGCCGGGAAGGGCGGGCAGCCGCCGAGGTGAGGGCAGCGGCAGCGGCAGCGGCTTCAGGCGCCGCAGTGCGCAGGCGCGCGCGCCTCCTACGCAGGCGCCGCCTACAAGTGACTTCTCCAAAAAGTGTCTTAGTTGTCGGTCACCTGAGCTCGGGCGACTCGGCTGCGGTAGGCGTCGCGACGCCCGCCCTCCGCGGGTCCCGCCGGGAGACCTGCCCTCGCCGCTTGCCCCTCGCTCCGCCGCAGCGGACCGTCTACGGGCCCGTCTCTTCCCTCCTGTCCTCTCCCGGCCGCGGGCGGGACCGGGCGGAGCCGGCGGCCCGGGCGCGGCCCCTGACCATGGCGTCGCTATTCAAGAAGAAAACCGTGGACGGTGAGTCGGGGCCGGGCGGAAGGGGCGCCGCTCTGCACTTCTCTGGCGTGTCTCGGGGGCTTCCGGCCACGGTTCTTTCTGCTCCCGGAGGCGGGGTCGCAGCCGGTGGCCCCACAGGTGACCGCCCTCGTGCGTCACTTGTCTGCTCCCCGAGTCTTCTGACGCGCCGCGCCTCAGCCTCACCTGCGCGTTGAGGCCGCCCCGGCCCTACGGGTCCGTCCCCCGCCTTCCCCCCCCCCCCCCCTTAGCGAGACCTTGAGCCTTTCGGGGAGACTGGATGCGGCTGGCTCTGGAGTGACGAATTTCTTGCTGGTTGCATCTGTTGGTTGGTTGCGCCTGCATCTTGGAGCTCTTCTACTTACTGGGGTGCAGACAGCAAACCTGAGTTGAGCTGGAGGAGGGGATAACAGGCTCCAGGTACAAAATGAACCTGGGTCTGGGTCGTCTTGCCTTTAAGAATACCCCACCAATAGAGACGTGAAACAAATGCTTCTTTACTGACTCCAATAGAAATATAAAAGAAGACTTGGGTTTGCCTTTTTTTTTTTTTTTTTTTATTTACGATAGTCACACAGAGAGAGAGCTAGAGAGAGAGGCAGAGACACAGGCAGAGGGAGAAGCAGGCTCCACGCACCGGGAGCCCGACGTGGGATTCGATCCCGGGTCTCCAGCATCGCGCCCTGGGCCAAAGGCAGGCGCCAAACTGCTGCGCCACCCAGGGATCCCGGGTTTGCTTTTTTATAATGTATTTTTCCTTCCCTATGATTATCTTTTGCTATCTAAGTAAAAGATGTGATACGTATTTTCTGCATAGAAGTTTATATTTTCAGATACTTGCATTGGTTCAGACATTTGGCTCAATGTCATCTTAAGAAGAAAAAAGAATGTACAAAAATATATAAATTGTTTATAAGCGGTTACTGTAGTGTATATTATATGACACTAATGAATTATTCTTGATATTTTCATTGACTGCCACCAGGAATCAGATTCATTCAAGTTATTTAAAAATTGTGTTTCCTACTACATGTTGAGTCTAGGTTGCTGTTGGTTCAGCCAAAGAATCACTTCTTTGTAAGGGTCCAACCCTGCCGCAAAAGGAGCAGTGGTAGCTAGACGGCGATTGGTACAAACAGTGCTGAGTCCAGACCTGGGGTAATTCTTTATTCCTTTGTATGGACTATCCCAGTGCCAGCAACATTATTTTGGGGAGGATAACAAAGACATCACTTTTACTTTGCCACTCTATCCTTCACTTCAACACATAATGTAATTTTAGTCCTAATTTAGTGCACAGCATAATACATTTTTGCCTGCCCTGAATGGGCGACAAAAAAAAATTTTTTTTTTCTGATTTATGGACTTTTTATTAACTAAGAAGTACCATTAACAGTACCTGGAATACCTTCCGAGTTGGTATAGGATGTAGTACAATTATTTGAGATGGATTTTATTTGAGAATGCCATCTAATTTTGAATGTGGCACTTTCTTCACTGTTTCAGTACCAATATCGTGGTTTTCTGTACTCATGGGCAGGTGGGGAGGGGCAGAAAGGTTTATTTTTTTGTTTCAGTGTTATTTAGTGAGAATTTACTAAAGAGAGGAAAAGAGACCTTTGTTACTGGGATGTTACAGATTGTTTTTAAAAAACATCTTAACATTAAAGGCCAAACAGCTTTAATTGCTTAATATCTGTCAAATATTTTCACAGACATAAGTGTTAGTTCTGTATTCTCATTGGTGTGCTTCTTGGTGAATTTGGCAGGCTAGTGACTATTGTATTGTACTTGAAGTACAGACCAGAGAAAGAGAAAAGAGAAAAAACAGTGAGGATGTTTAATTGTATACTAATTTGCAGTTGGGTTAATTCATCCAAGAAATAATGTTTTTTGCTAAATAGGTTTATTTGTGAAAATAAAGTCTTAAGGACTTTGGCTAGGAACTATACTACTGATTTAAAAGATCTATGTGTGAAATTTCTGAATATAAACTTGGCCACTGTGTGCATTTACTATAACTACTAAACTGCATACTTGAATTTTTTTTTACATTATCATGTCAATTCAGATCACTTAATGACATTTTAATTATAGATTTGTACTTTCATTTTTCTGATATAGAGCTTTATTGGTGTTTTTACTGTTTTATTAAAAAGAGGGTGTTTTGTTGAAAAGGTGACAGCATTCTTCTTAGCAGTAATGAGGCTGTATATTATGAAATGTAATGTATTTTTATGCATTTCTCCCAGATCCTTAGACTCGTTGATTATTGATCATAAGATATTTTGCTGTATTTTGCCTTTTTATCTGTTTCAGCAGTAATGAAATTCTGATATATAAGGAAATATGTAACTGCATATAGATCTGGAAAATGAATCTTTTTGTCTCTTTGGATTGGCTGGAAGAGTTGCATGCTATATCATTAAAGACTACGGCACTTGTAAATTAAAAAGGGAGACAACATTACAGCACTTATTACTATTCAGAGTTATGTTTAATTCATTTTTGACACAAAGATGAACAAGACTGCAGTGTATACTTTGTTAGAGAAATTAATGAGAATTGTACTTCAATGCCACAGAAGAGAAAAATTCCTTTGAATTTGAAATTACAGTGGAGTATTTGGTTTCCCTTTTACTGATTTTTTAAGGTATATACATGTACATGTGGTAATGTGTTTACAGTGCTTCTCCCCCCACCCCAAGTGGACTAATGGTGACCTATTTATTGAAACTAATTATGAACCTGTAAATCAGGTTGCCATGAGGATTTATCATAAATGCACAACTAAAATAGGTCTTTTAAAAAGTGAAAATTTTTAAGAACTATATAATTTTTTTGTCCTTGTTAAAGGCAAATTTGAGGTCCTGCTCTAAGCCAGCACTGTGGTAGCATTTTGTGTGCAGCATCTTATTTTTCACAAAACTTAGGTGATAAGTGCTATTACTGTCCTCACTTTATAGGTGAGGAAATTGAGATACAGAGAACTAAGTAATTTGCCCAAGGTGACACAACTTAGTAGCAAAACCAGAACCTCATCCCTTGAGTATTATCATTGATAATATTTTTGTATAAGAGATCCTGTGGCACATTTTAATTTTGCTATTCTTCTAGTATATGGAATTCCCAACCTTGGTAACTGTTTGTCTGTGAGCCAGGCTATTTTCCTCTTGGAATCAGTGGTAGAGCTTTAATTTCCCATAGTGGTAGAACTGGAAGAAAAAAAAAAAAAAAACTCCTTTTTCTGACTCTCCACTGACCCAAGGGTTTCTTAGGAAGTATTGTCCCGTCTTTTTGCTCTTCATGTAAACTTCTTGAAGGAGTAGTGTTGTCTTCCATTCCTTCCCCCTTTATTTCTCAGGCCACCCCCCAATTCTACAGCAGTTTGCTTTACATCTTAAGTAATGAGATCTTGCTAAGATCATCAGTGACTCCTAGATTGCCAAAATGGCCATTTTTTAGTGATCATTTCTTGGGCGTATGTTTTGCATTTGATCCTAATAATTTCTTTATTGAAATTCTCTTTTGGCTTCCATGAAACTCTGTAATATATTCTCTGACCACTCTTACTTTCTCCCTTCAGATTCATCTTTTCTTTTTTTCCTTCCTCTTTTCCTCCCTCCCTTCCTTCCCCTTTTTTCCCCCTGCTCCTTAAATGGTAGTGTTCTTGGTTCCATGTTGGGCTACCACCTTTCTAACTGTACAGTCTCTCCCTACATGATCTTACCCAAAGTCTTATTATTGTGGTTACTACCTAAATGCTGAAGGATACCAAATTTGTGTTTCTAGTTTCTTCTGAGTTTCAGACCTGACTTCCTGAGTATCTCTACCTAGAAGTCCCAAAGTACCCCAAATGGAGATTCCAAACAGAATTTATCACCATCTCCTTAAGTTAGTTCCTTTCCTGAGTCTCCTTTCCAGTGTTGGCAGGTCTTAATTTTGTCTCCTACCTTTAACTAATTACCAAGTTTTGCTCCTTTTGCCTCTTACGTATTTGGCACACATAATTTTTGACTGTGAGCCTGCAACTCCTGCTCTAATTCAGATCCCATTTACCTTGCTCTCTATTACATCATCTTTCTGCCTTTTTTTTCCCCCTATAGTTTCATAGCCCTTAAACTGTTCATCTACAGAGTTGCCTTGTGATTTGATCTACCTGAAACCCAAATCAGACTATGCTGGTCCTCAGTTTAAACCCCTTTATTATATCCATGATACCAACAGAATCCGTGAGAGCTCTTTAATAAGGCATATATGGCCCTCCATGATCTGATCCTTGACTTTCTTGTCATGTCTCTGAACATTTTACTGTCCAACAGTATTGTTTTTATATTCATCAGTACATACCATGGTCTTTTCTCTCTCTGACATATTTTTGCTTGTGATATCTTTATGCATAGAATCCTCTTTTTCCTTCTGCTGGCTAACCTGCACTATGTCAGGTGTTTTTCTTCTCTGATGCAGTCTCAAATTGCGTTAAGGATCTCACTCCTGTATTGTAATTTTTTTAGCCTCTGTTTCCTGACTTGCATTCACTGGAACTAAAGTAGATCCTTGTATACTTCCAAGGTTGGACTATGTCTGTTCTAAGTTTTTCCTATATTCTGTTTATGCAAGGTCGCAGTCTCTTTAGGATTCCTGAAAGTATCTCTGCATTGATTTATAATTTAGAAACAAAATTTCAAAATAATAGCGCTTGTTAACCAAAAGTAGTTTCCATATCCAGAGCTGTTTATAAACTACATCCATATATCATTGCCACCCACTTGCAAGCTTAGACATAATTTGAGGAGCCTTACTGGCATAAAAGCAAGGTTCTTGGTTTTTGCCTTACTGGGGATTGTATCCATGTATGCTATTAGTCGGAGTTCAGAATCTGTGAAGTTTTGACTAACTTGGAATAAATCTCCTGTCAAAAGGTAGGTTGACACATTTGTGATATATTAAGAAAGGATAAAATACTATCCATATGGGAAGCCCAGGTGGTTCAGCCGTTTAGA